GGCTGGGGCTGGGGCTGGGGCTGGGGAGGGATCTGACTTCCTCTTGTCCTGCATGCCAGGGTCCAAAACCAGGAAGATCCCATATCCCACCAAGAACCCCTTCACCTGGCTATTTCTGTTGGTGTCCTGTCCCAACTACACTTACGAGGTGAGACTGCCTTTTTCCTCTTGGATTTGAGGTCCTATATGAGGTGAAGTGTAGGGGTGGGTTGTGGGGAGTAATAAAGCTTGAATATGGGGAGACTGCTGCCTTCCTTCCCCAGGGATACATGTGATGCTGGGCTTCCCTCTGTGCCCTCACCCTGCTTGTGCTGTTCACAGGTGGGGTCCTGGATTGGCTTTGCCATCATGACGCAGTGTGTTCCAGGTGAGTCCCTTGTTCCCGTGCAGTGCCCTTCCCTTCTGACTGGGCATCCCTATTCTGATATCCCGTTCTGCCCACAGTGGCCCTCTTCTCCTTGGTGGGCTTCACCCAGATGACCATCTGGGCCAAGGGCAAGCACCGCAGCTACCTGAAGGAGTTCCGTGACTACCCACCCCTGCGCATGCCCATCATCCCTTTCCTGCTCTGAGCAGTTCTCATGGGCTCAGCCAGGAGCACTCTCTACCCAATGCCCCTCTGTCCTGGGGTGATCGTGGCTCTCTAGCAGCAACAATAAATCTGCTTACCCAGCTGGTCTTGGGCTTTGTGTTCTTTAGGGGCCCAAGGGCCACCCGTTCCTCCCCACCCTTGAGGCAGTGCAGATGAAGGTTGGACAGTTGACTCAGAGTGTTTATTCCACTGATAGGTCCACAGGTGGTGGGTGACCCTAGAGGGCCACCTCAGGGCCCACCTCTCCTTCTCCCTGGCCCCGGGATACCCGTTCCGCCTTCTCTTCCCTCCGTTTCTTCCTCTGGAGCAGCCTCCGTTCACGTTCAAACTCCTTCATTCGCTTCACGTAGCTGTTGGCAGAGCAGATACAAGGTCTCAATGCCACAGGCCCTGACCTGGTCCCATTCCCAGCCACCAGGAAACCCTAGCTAGGGTGAGGCCTCCCACTGAAATCCTGGCTTGGCCCTCTGATGGCTCCAGCCTCTTCCCCATGCCCATGTGTGGGTGCTTGTGGTGTGGGTAGGGGCAGGGCAGGCTCACTCCATGTGCTCGCAGTAGTCCCAGTCATGCCGCTCATGCTTGCAAGCCAGGAAGTTGGGGAAGCTGTCGCGCTTGCACTTGAGCAGCCTGATGAGGTAGTGGGCGCAGTAGTCACGTTGCTGCAGTGTCAGCTGGGCATTGTTCATCTCCTGTTGTGTAGCCACCATTACTGTGGGGAGTGGTAAGGCTCAGCATCAGAGCCAATCCCCAACTCCACCAACTCCCAGGATGCACATGGCACAAATGAAGCCACATACAGGGTATCCCTCATTGGGTTAGCAGAACCAATTCGGATTATGGCCATGTCCTGACAGAAGGAAGGGTGACACTGATCCCTTTGGGTATGTAAACAGTACAGAGAGTTCTCACCTCCCTTCCTCTAGCGATGCTATCTTCCAAAAAGTTAAGGGAAGGTCAGTGTTCACTTTCCAGCCGGCTTCCCCATTACAGAAATATGCCAGGTCCAGCATGGATGCTGCTAGGCTGTCAGCTAAGCCAACGGAGCTGTGGTAACCACAAGTAACTCAGGAATGCATCATTAGGTGGTACCAGTGTAACCAACCAGCATAGTGTGTATTTACATAGATAAGACAGGTTCATCACTAACTCACAGGACTTCGGAACTGTCATTGTCTGAGGTTGACATAAATGTTCCCATGTATGTGGCGCATGTTAAATGCTCATGTGTGAGCTTTGGGTAGATAATCTAGATCTGAAAGGGTATGTTCCATCACTGGGTGAGGAACAGTTGTCATACTACAGCCTGTACCCACTGTGCCCCATACTCCCACATCTTATCAACCCAACAGGACCCTATTTGCTGGGTCTTTAGGCCTGCCTCCTCTCCACCCGTGCCTTGGTCCTAGCCTCCATTTATTGCATTAAAACCTACTCCCATAGAAGGCCTGGTGGCTCAAGGCCTGTCACCTTCAGCTACTCAGGAGGCTGAGGAGAGAACCACAAGTTTAAGACCTGCTTGGGCTTCAGAATGTGGGCAACGGAAGTTGGCAAGCTGCCTGGAGAGATGGCTCAGTGGGTAACAGCATCACTGCTCTAGAAGAGAACTGGGATTTTGTTCCCCAAACTCATAATCCCTGCATTTAACTTCAGCTCTAGGGGATCTGATGCCTTCTCTGGCACCTGAACTCTTACAGACAAATCTCTATACAGATACACAGTCAAAATAAAATAGTGAAGTCAGTGGTAGAGTGCTTGCCTAACACGTGTGAGGCTTGGGAAACCCTTATCACTGCACAAACACTACCACGCTCCAGTTGCTGCCATCCCTCCTCTCAGGGCTGTTGTCTCCACTCTGCTTCCAGCTACTACATCCTCTTTCTCATATGGGCTCAGGGCCTTGTGCCCTTTTTGAGCTTCTAACCTGGTGCCCAGATGTGACTCAGGGTTGCCTGTCACCAGGGTAGGCTTTCCCCACCTTTGTTGCACTCTGCCTGCATCTCCTCCTAATTCAAACCACCTTCTCTATAACCCCACACCTCTAAACCATCACTGGGTCTACCCTACACCTCTGACTGTTACCCTAGTTGGCTGATGAAGCCGGCTTGGTCCCTGTATGTTACACCTCTGCACCCCAGGCCCAGGGGCTCACTTTGCAGTCTGGCAGGCAGGCTTTTGTTGGAGCCACTCAACCTGGAACTCAGGTTAGCAACCCAAGCTCCTGCCTCATCTCCAGTTTATAATAGGATGGCAGCAAGGCTTCAGCACACTGCTACCTGCTAAGTTAAGGAATATAGCAGGGAGCCAGGCAGGTAGATGGTATCTGTCTTCAGAGGGAGACAAAGTAGGCAAAATACACTCATTGCCTGGCAGCCTTATTGACCAGGGAGAAAAACAAAAACCAAAGCCAGGTGTAGGCAGCGCTGGAAAGGGGAGCATGAGAAGGCAAGGGGCGAGCCAGGCAGATGTCTATGGCAAAAGCACTACAGGTTTAACAGGCCAAAACCTTCGAGGCAACAGGACTTGCTTACCTCCTTTGAGTACAAGGAAGGTGGAACTGTGGGAAAGTGAGGACAGAAGGCTTAAGGGGAAGGCAGAGCTCAGACTACAGAGGACAAAACAGCCATTAAAGGCAGAGTGGTGCATACTGGTAATCTCAGCACTCAGGAGGCGGAGGTAAGAGGATTTTAAATTTGAGGCTAGCCTGTGCAAGATCTTGTCTCTAAAGTGAACAAAATCCGGGCTGGGCCCGTTGGCTTTCTCCTGTGATCTCAGCACTTGTGAGGCTGAGTTTGGGGATCTGGAATTTAAGGCCAGCTATAGAATATGTTATAGAATGAAACCCTGTCTTAAATTAAAATGGCAGTGGAGCGTGGTGGTGGTGATTCCAGAAGGTGGTGAGTGGTTCCGGGGGGGAGAGAAGGTGGAGAGGGATTTAAGGAAGACACACTGAATGTTGACTTCTCACCAACACACATGCGTGTATACCACAATTAACGTAGCACTAACACAAACAGCAAAAAACAAAACAAAACAAAACCACAAAAGCCAGCAATGTCATTCCTAAGTTGAAGGTTAAGATTTCCCTGGGAGATAACCTTGGCAGTACTGCTGCACACAAGGCAGTTGCAAGCGGTCTCCAGGACAGGACAGACAGATGCCTTGGCTTCAAGGCCTCCAACAGGGAGCTGAGGAAGAATGAGTGAAAGTCCAGGGAGATGGAGGTGACCAAGGTACAACTGAGGAATGACGATGGGACTTAGTGATTCGGCTGGGGAACTTTGAGAGAAGCCCTTCAGTGAAGGGGAAAGCTGGAGAAGGTAGGGGTTTTACACTTGTTCTTGAGACAGGACTTATATTGTCTGGGTTTGGGAGGATGTTTCAAAGCCACTGATAGGCAGTGTAACGGCATGCTTACAGGAGACTGAGGACAGATTCCTGAGCAGAGTCCTCATGTTGTAGACAGTGGATGGAGGACATAAGGGGTTCACCTGAAATGGGGGCTCTGCCAGGCCATAGACAGGTCATCTGGAATAATAGGTGAGGAGTACATGGGAGCGGGGAGGGGAGTTGCTCCTGCTTTCCCACAGGAGCATGCCTAAGATGGAGGACGAGGCGATAAACAGCTACAAGTAATCTGAAGGCTAGCATCATTGAGCACACTGGGCCTGTGAGCTCAGGGCTCCAGAGGCCAAAGAAAGGACTGTGAGTTAGAGCAGCCTGACTCCACAACAAGAAGGGGTCCAATGAGGAAGCAACCTGGATACTGGGGCTGGCTGAGTTTTACTAGGATTTTGGTTTGGCCAAACCAGAGAGGGAGTGCTGGTTATTTTCAAAGCTGACTATGGGCAAAGCAGGGTGTCAGGTGGATAAATGGGCTGCAGGCTCAGTTAGGGCTGAGGGACTCCCCAGAGCAGGACACTACCTTCCAGTATACCCAGATGCATGTCTCTTGGCTCCATCCCTGACTACAAGTCCTCACTCACCAGGCAGTCACTAACCCTCTGCATGTGTAGGACAGAAGATAGTCAGAATCCATCGTATTTTATGAGACAAGTCCTCCCAGAACTTAGAGCTCACTGGCTAGACTGACTGGCCACGAGGCCCCTGGATCCACCTCTGTCTCCTCTGCACGGGGAGCACAGGCATAGCTCCTCCAGCCTTTTATGTATGTGATAGTTTTTCTCCTATACAAAACCTGCTTTTTCTTCTTTTTTTCCAAGTCAGGGTTTCTCTGTGTAACAGCCCTGGCTGTCCTAGAACTCACTCTGCAGACTAGGCTGGCCTTGAACTCACAGATTATCTGTCTGCCTCTGCCTACTGAGTGCCAGGATTAAACGCCACACACCATCACTGCCCGGCAAGGAAAGCTTCTTAAACTGGAAGTAAACAACAGCTTCAGGAAGCCCTTAAGCTGACCAGATTCACTAGGCCATTCCTTCCCCAAGCTTGTCTAGGCTGTTAAGACTGCCCAGAGACCAGCTCAGCTCAACCAAGCTCCCTGTTTTTTTTTTTTTTTTTTTTTTTTGGTTTTTCGAAACAGGGTTTTTCTGTGTCGCTTTGGAGCCTATCCTGGCACTCGCTCTGGAGACCAGGCTGGCCTCGAACTCACAGGGATCCGCCTGCCTCTGCCTCCCTGGGATTAAAGGCGTTCGCCACCAACGCCCGGCTTTCAGTGCTATTCTGAACCTTGTTCTGCCAATGGTTTCCTACCTGGGGTGAGAAGACAGACTTCTGTTCATGTTTCCACACGGGGTTGGAACTCAAGTACTCCTGCTTGCATGGCAAGCACTTAACCGATTGGGCCATTTCCCAGCCTACACCACAAACCTTTTGGCAAAGCAAATTTGTGTCTTTCCTCTGCTTACAAGTGAGGGCTCTATCCGTCCTCGGAACCGGCTTCATCAGTTCCATATACGTGCCTCTTTCAGCCTGTTACGAAGCCTGCTCCCACACCTCAAGTTTTGCTTGGAACTGCTTGCCCAGTGGGCTCCCTAAAGACAGTGTCAGCGTTTCTCTGCTACCATGGGGCATCCCAAGTGCCATAATGGGACTTTGCCCAGAGTTGTCACTCTGTAAGCCTGTGATTTTCCCACACAGGAAGAACGAGAACCCTGGGTTCCATCCCCAGCACCATCACACCAGACAGGACAGGGGCACCGCATGATCGCCCCACCCCCGACCTTGTATTCTTGTACCAAGCTAAATTAAGAGTGATACCTGTATGGGCATGCAAAGAGCTTGTCCCTAGGCTCCGCGCTGCGCCCAGACGAAGAGCACTGGCGCAGCCGTGTTTTCCCGCTCTCGGCTGACTTCTCCGAGCCCTTTGCTCCAGCCATGCCCGCACTGTCTCCACGATCAGGAGGCCAGGCGCCCTCCCGACCCGACCCGGCCCGACCCGACCCGACCCGACCCTGTGCATACAGGCAGCACCGAGTTCCGCGGGGTCCGCGGTCGCGCCTGCGCTCTGAGCTCACCGCGCTCCTTGCGCTCCGGGAAGCCGTAGTCCGGCGGGAAACTGGGCATCTGCAGGGGGTCAGGCTCCACCGAGGCGTCCCCCAAATAGCGCCGGGCCAGGTGCGCCCCCATAGCTGCTCCTCCTCACTCTCCTTTGGCAGCCGGGGTCACCTCACTCCCACCTGGAAGCACTGCTCCTTTCAGGGCCACGGCTTCCGGGTCATCTAGTCCGCGATGGGGGTCATGGAGAAGAGCCGGGGAAGCCGTCCTGGCCTGCTGGCTCCCCCTAGCTGTGCTGGGGAGACAGCGCAGGTGCGGCGGACGCCGGTTGGCTAGACTGCCTGGCTGTCTAGGGAGCTCCAGGGGTGACCTGTCTGTGCTCTCTCTGCTCAGTGCTGGGATTACAGATGTGTGCCACCAAGCCTGCAGTTTACATAGATATTGTGGACACTGCGGCCCACATGCTTGCATGACAGTCATTTTATAGACGGAACCATCTTCCAAGCTCATTCTATTTTTATATTTAAGATGTGTGTGTGTGTGTGTGTGTGTGTGTGTGTGTGTGTGTGTGTGTGTGTGGGGATAGACTCCAGAGCCTCGTTCACGGTAGACAAGTGTTTTACCATTGAAGTACGCCACCACTTCCAACCTCCCAACCTCCAAACACTTTTCACAGGGGTGTTGGTGTGCACACACCTCTGTAAGTGGGCAGGTCAATTTTGGGTGTCATTACTCTGGCATTGTCCATCCTGTTTGAGACAGTGACCCCCCCCCCCCACTGGCTTTGAACTCTCCGAGTAGGCTAGGCTAGCTGGCTTGGAGGTTGGAAAAATGTAACTGTCTGCCCGTCTGTGGTTCTGGAATTGCAAGCATGTGTCACCACACCCAAACTTTTTTTTTTAAAGAGGGGTTTGGAGACTGAATTTAGGTCTTTGTGCCTGTAAAGCTATCACAGCAATGGCTGAGCCCTCCTCTTGAAATACA